GACCCAATAAGCTCTGAAAGAAGTTTATAAAATGTTTTTCAATACCCCTTCTATCATCAATCTCCCGCCCTTGCTCATCTTTTACTATCCAAATTTTGTTCTTCATGGTCCTTATCTTTAAGGAGGCATGAAAAAATTTCGAATTCTCATCTCCCTCGCTAGGCCATTTCTCCTTCGATTTCTGCTGTAAGAAACTGTTGGCTGCCTTCCTTGATTCCACATATTGACTGTATAGAGTTCTCTCCTTCACCTGCACTTCTATATTGCATAGATTAATAATGAGTTGTTGTTGCACTTCTTCCAATTGCAGCTGCTCTCTGTTTGCCTTCTCTACTATGTCTGTGAATTGATGCTTATTTAACCACTTCAGTCGATACGTCAATCTCTTCATCTTCTGACTAGGGGTGCTAGTTAATCAGTTCAACCCGATAAACTACCCGAACCCATTCAATTTCGATCAGTTCGGTTTGGATAATTTAAAATTCGGTTTAAACTTCGGGTTCACCCGAATAACCGATTCCTTATACGGTTCGGATTTCGGTTTACAAAAATATCTTTGGGGCCCCGTCCGAAAAACCGAATAAGGTTTTTAATATTTTAATTATTAGTTGACATTAAATTCTTTAGCATTTCTTATTTTATATATTTTAATCCCTAATATTGTAAACCCTTAACCCTTGACCCTTTCCCTCATTTATTCTCATAGCTTCCCGCCACCCCCCCTTCCCCCACCTTTCTTTCTCCGATGTACTCAGTTCTTCCCGTAGCCCGGCGCCACCCCCTTTCCCCTTCTCCACAGCTGCACCTCCCGCCTTCCATGGTTCCACCACCATAATCTACCGATTCTACTACGAATCCAACCTAGTAGAAAAATTGAACCCCTTCCAGATCTAATCGATTTTTCTCCGAATTGAAACTCAAAGGGGAAAAACTGAACCCTCTATCCCTTTGTTGCTTCGACGTTCTTCTTCTTCATAGAGAGAGGAAGGGCAAGATCAACGTCGCCGTATTACTGCTTTGAAGAAAGATAGAAAGAAAGAAGAAAGGAAAAGGAAAAGATTTGGATAAGTGGGTTTCCTCTTGTCCTAAAATCGATCTGAAATTCTGAATTCAAAGTCCAAATTCATTCATATCTAGGGATTTCTGATTTGTAATCGACTGGGAAAAAAAAGAAAATTTGGCAAACAGGTGAATTGGAATAGAAATCAAAAATTCGAACTGTCGATATCTCCATCATCAGTTAATTATTTCGAATTGGTTAGCTTTTCTTTCGCTTCAATTTGGCATCTCTTCTGGCTTCCTTGATAAAATTTGGTAGCAGAGTTGGTTTGTTGATTATGGTAACTATGAATTTACCGGAGGTCTGTGATTAAGGCCTTGAGGGAGGATTGGAAATTTGGAATTGGGATCATTCGATTCATTCAGTTCTGAAAGCCTGTCAAATACAACATATTTTCGGGTTAATCGGCCCCCGAACCGAAAACCCGATTGTTTATTCGGTCGGTTCGGTTCGGGGATATAGAATCTTTGGTACGGTTTCGGGTGGGTCTTGCAAGGGAAAAAAATCTGATTAACCCAAACCGAATTCACCCGAACCGCACTGAACCGCCCGTATTAGCAGCCCTACTTCTGACACAATTGATACATATGTGTCCCTTCAACTTTCTCAGCCCAGCTACTGGCCACTGTACTCAGAAAATCAGCAGGGTGGCTCCACATATTGAAATAGCAAAAAGCACTCCGACCCTTTTGTATTTCCTTCTTCAGCTGCACCTCAACAGGGGAGTGATCAAACACCCCTTCCATTAGCACTATTGTCAAAGATTCTTCATATTTATCAAACCACTCATCATTTACTAAGGCTCGATCTAATTTTTCGTAAATTCTCTGTCCCCATTCTCTAATTGCACCACGTAAATACTTTCCCAATCTGATTCAAATTATTAAGACTGCATTTACCTAAGCTCCATTGGAATTCTTCAAAGTGTTGCAAAGTGACTGGCTTACCACCCAACTTCTCCTCCGGCTTCAAAATATTATTGAAGTCCCCCATTAATAACCAGAGACCATCAATACTTCTTGAAATTTCTATAAGCTCTGTCCATAGTTGTGATTTTTCCACCTGATCATTTGATGCATAAATACCTATGGAGTAAAAATCACTCTTCCCACTTCTATGTTTACACAAACAGTGAATCAATTGGAAACTTTGCCTTATCAATTGCACTTCTAAGACATTGTCCCAAATGATCATGATCCGTCCTTTTTCATGACTTCTATAATTAGTTAACCATTTTCATCCCTTCCAATATTGGTTTAAGTACTGGTCTACTCTTGATTATGTCGTCTTTGATTCCACCAGACATATCATATTATTTTTCCTCTCCTACACTCTTTTATAAACTTCTTTCTGTTTAAGCGGCGAGTTTAAACCCCTTATATTCTAGGATAGGATGCTACACATGTAAACTTGGTCCTGGATTCACAACCAATCCCACCTTATCCTCAATTTGGTTATAACCCAGCCCATTATCTTCCATTCCTCCTTCTTCTACACTAAATGTTCATTCACCAGTAACTATTCTCCTTTCTTTATTTGGCTTGCCTGTAGCCAGTTTAATCTGGTTGTTTCTTTCTACTCTTTTCTGATTCCCACTACTTACTTCCTGAGATTGATGTAAATCCACTGAAATAAGCATTTTCTGTTGCTCATTGATCATATGAGAAGTACTAGTTTCCATCCCCTTTTCTGCCACAACTTTAGGTTAATCCTTCTTTATTATTTTCTTCCAGACAAGAACCAGTTGTTTAGTTTTTCCTCCATCCTCCCCAAATGTACTCTACACTTCTCTACTAGATGACCATATTCCTGACAATGTGCACATCGAGTAGGCAACCATTCATAAACTATTTTCTGAGTTCTATCATGTCCCAACTCATCCTCAAATACCAACTTATCAGGAACATTATCTGCAATTTTCATTTCCACTAATACCCTAGCATACTGCACTCTCTCTTTACTAACTGTATAATTATCAGCTAATATAGGAGTTCCAATTGAGCTAACCAATCTGCTAAGGGAGTTTACGTGCCAAAATTTGATTTCCAAACCATACAGTCTAGTCCAAACAGGCACACAGTCAACATCATTATAATTTAATCACTTGTCCACATCCCACGGTTTCACGATTAAGGGTTTAGTCCCAAAATGATAATAATTAACATTTAGTACTTCGTCTCTAGCCTGCTGAGTAGTGAATCTGATAACAAATAAATCACTAGGCAGAACAATTACCTTATCGATACCCAGCCTCTCCCAAAGCTTCTGAAAGTACCGTTTCATTACTCCAATTGGCGAGTCAGCTCCTAACACAAAGCTCACAATAGAAGACTCCCAATAATTTGCTTCTACTCGTACATCTTTTGCCTGCATCTAAGCTATATTATGCCCTTCAACTTCCTTTGGTGGGATATACTTAAACTTTCCAGAGGGTGCTTTAAACTTACTCAGGTTATTCCGTTCCCATACACTCTGCATCTCCTCTAGTTCCACCTTATCTGACCAATTCAATTGGCGTTTAGCGTTTAGGGCCCTTGAACATCAATCTCATCATGTCGCTTTCCGCTACTACATCCCTTACTGAAAGATTGCTGCTTCCCGATTCCCACTACTTCCAAGGGCGTAGTCATCTTGGAAGGCCTTGTCAATTCCCCCTTCTTACTAGCCGATGCACCTTCAATTTCCGCAACCAATCGGTCTACTTCTTCTGCTTGCAGATCTGAAATCCTAGTTGCTCCTTTTTTCTGCTTGGCTCCATCTGCCATCGTTTCCATGCTAATTTGCTTTTCCTTACCCTGCGTCTGATTCCCCATCTCATCTTGTTACTAAATTGCTTTCCCTTTCTTCTTTCTGTCTGTCATGGCAGGCGCACGTCGCTTTCGTGCGCTGAGAGCAAAGAGAGAAAAGGTTCAGTGAAGAGAGAGAAAGTGGTATTAATTTATCATATTGACGGGATCTATATTTTTATTAAAAATTTTTTGATATATTATTAACTAATTATTTTATTAATTACTTTTATTTTTTTGTTAGTTCCGATTTGAGAAAAAATTATTAATTTATAGATGTTTTGTTATATGTTTTAGTTTAATGTATGAAATTTTCAATTGATTATAAGTGTTACTTAGGTAGTTTTATTAGACGGAAGAAAAGGAAAAAATGTTAATCAACATAGAGAACAAATCCCTTTTACCTTATTAAAGCAGAAGACATGAAACTTATGTCGCAACTACGTATGTATCTGTTTTGGCTCCAATACACCATATTTCAGATTTCAGAAGTTTTTTTGCCACGTGAAAGTCTCTTTTAATTAGAAGTTATATAATTTTTTTTTAAAAAAAAAAACACATGTTTTACTACAAATAGGGATCAGTTACATTTCAAACAAATGGATATATTAATTCAAATTCAAATGTCCAATCGTATAGTTTTGCAGGTTTAATATAAACAAAAAATAAAAATACCTAAATCCAACAATTAAGAATAATGCCTTATAAACTAATTATTTATTATTCCGTTATAACCTCAAATTTATAGGTATATTTTTTTAAGCCTCAAACCATAGCATAAATGATATATAGGTCAAATTAATTCCTCAAAAAATAGTAATTCAATTAGATTTTAATAAAATAGTAATTTAGAGGGGGCGCCCGGGCATCTGTCCGGACCAAGCATCTAGTTATTATTAATTAATCATTTTTTACCCTTTATTATAAATTTTTGTTAATTTTGTATGAATTTCTCAACAAAAAGAAAAAATAGCAAAACCTTGTTCACTCTCTCTACTCCTTTTCTTACTCTGCCGCTTCCATCCCTCACAATCCCTCTCCCTCGTCTCTGCCTAACCTCGTTTCTCCAAAACAATCCAAAAACCCACAATTTTTTATTAGGGTTCAACCATCAAACCACCAGCTTCCTCCTTCTTGCGTGTTAAACCGTCGCAATGGTGGCTGAGGTCGGTAAGAAATCCAAGGTGGAGGAGGACGCCGATCACCACATTGACAGCGAGCTTGTTGTCTCCATCGAGAAGCTTCAAGAAGTTCAAGATGAGCTCGAAAAGGTTCCCTTTTTTCCGTTTCCTTCTCAAAATTATATCAATATTTTGGTTAATTGTTCTCAATACTTTCGTAAAGAGATGATCTTTGATCGAAGGAACCTATTTTAAAGTTGTGGTACTTACTATTGAACGGAAGAAGATATAGGTCTTTCATGCGGCATGTGTTGATGAGGTTTTAATGTGTTGAATAATGCGTCGATTTTGCAATTTTTTTTATCATTTCTTCTGTTGTTTGGAGTCTAATGTGAGGGCCAAACCTTACGAGTTTGCTTCCCTGTCGAGTCATTGAAGTTTTCTTGATGAAATATGCGTGCTTGATGAACTAAATAGTGAAGTTTAGATATTTCTGCCATGCAAGTTGGATTAATCGAAGACTTAAGAATTATGCTACAGTGAGACATAATGTAATTATGATTTTTGGTTAACCTTTTATCAGTATTGTGATCCTTTCAGCGGAAGAATGTAGAAGTTTTAAGGTAGGCAGTAGAATCGAAATGTTCTTATTGTAAGTAGGTTTAAAACTGATTATTTTCATTGTGAATTCAGTAATGATATAAGAAACATTTTAATATCGATTTTGTCCTTCAAAATTGGGAGACTTGATGAAAATCTCACACTCGAAATCCAGGGAAGGTGGGATCATAGGGGGAGTGCATCGTTAGCACTCTGTGATCACGAAATACACTAACAATAAACAGAAATTTTCTGAAAAGGGCTATAAGGCAAGTAAAGCTTTTATAGATCAGAGTTTGGGCACCTAAGTACGGATATGAACAAACAATAAGGGAAAGCAGAAATGATAATCGAGATGGATGTGCTGACACTCCAGTTTTAGGTAGAATGCAAGGGTATGCTCAGAGGTAAACAAACAGGAGAAAGATGGTTAGATGGTAAAATGCAGAGTGACCATTAGCTCTTTCTTGAGCATCATTGAAGAAAGATAATCACTTACATCGTGAGTGTGTGTGTGTGTGTGTGTGTTGTGTTGTGTGCGTGTGAGTGTGTGTTATGTGCGTGTCATTTGGGGTGGGTCGGGGGACCTCACAATGATTTGGAAATAAAGAGGCTGTTCTAGAAGCCCGAAACTCTTATGAGAACATATGTTCGACAAAATACAATGGCAATATATGCTCTATACAGCTGACCCAGATAATGAGTGTAAGCCGTAATTATTGTTGTTTAAGTGGAGGAATAGGTAGTGGGAGAAAAAATTTGAATAACCAAAATATTTGGTTGCAAGTAACTGTCCCAGAGGGAAATAACTACAGGTTTATACCGTTTTAATAAACAAAAAGCAGGCAATGGATTTTTGTTTCTTTTCCAAAAAACTCCCTGTACCCCCTAAATTGTGTATTATCACTTTTGCCACAATTTTGTTTGCTTTGTGCTGTAATGAGTTGTCCTTTTATTCTTGTTGCTTGCCATGTGTTGCAGAGATGATAATGATTTATATTGTATGTTTTCTTCCTCATTGTGGCGATTTGGACATGTTATGGGCAGAACCCAGTTTCATTTTTCTCTCCATGAATTTATTCATTTCCCTTAATTCGGTGTTCCAACTAGGTGCCATTGAATACCTTCCGGTGCCTTTTTGACTTTGCATTCACCACAACCCATTTCTATCACAAGAATCTTTATTTTTTCTGTTAGTCCTGCAGTCCCTTTCACACAGCAATTTCTATTTGCTTCACATCTCAATTGAAAAACAAATCCTCGGAAAAAAGTTGAGGGTTTATCCAGATAATAATGATAGAGAAGATCAGAATCATAAAAATGATCAGACTCTTGATGAACTTTCTGCAAATATTCAGTGTTATAGATGTCCAAAATGAGCTGAAGAAGGTTTGTTTCTGTAAATTTATTTAAACTAGCAGAAGAAAGTTTTTGGTCCCTATTAAGATACATTAATACTCGTGGGGCATAATGGCCCGGCAGTTCTATTTTGGAATGCACATTGTTGCCTGGTCCAACTGTCACGTTGCTGCTTGTTTTATTCTTTTCTTTGTTTGTTGGGTGAAGTTTGATGCATTTGTAGGCTTAAATCATTTTTTTCTAAGAATGTATCCACTTGAATTATTAGTGATGGTACATCATGGTTTAACCTACGTGGCAAGTAACTCCGCTTTATTAATTGAAGATGTCCAGGGATTAATGTGATTTATGCCTACAGATATTATTTCTCTTGAAACATTTATGTGCTGGGATTGTTGGATTGGCAGATATGGGCCTGATGGAAAATATATAATTCTCTGTAGGTAAATGAAGAAGCCAGTGAAAAAGTTTTGGAAATTGAGCAGAAATATAACGAAATAAGGAGGCCTGTTTATATCAGAAGAAGTGAGATCATAAAATCAATCCCCGACTTTTGGCTGACTGCTGTAAGTCGGAATTTTCTGATACTTTATTGAGAACAAATTGTTGGTGTATATTTGAATTTCTTATTTATTTTTCTTTTTCCTGCAGTTCTTGAGCCATCCTGCGCTTGGTGATCTATTGAATGAGGAAGATCAGAAGGTTTGTAGAATTCCTTAATCGATACCCATTCACATTAGACCTCTGATTGGCATTATCTCCCTTTGCCAGTGGAGGGCATCTTCATTCAATGTAGCTGTTAATTGTAATTCTATTTTTTGGTGATTTTGCAGATATTCAAGTATTTGGATTCTCTGGATGTGGAGGACTTTAAGGATGTCAAATCTGGCTACTCAATCACGTTTGTATGTTATATGTTGTTTACATGATATGTATATCTTTCCTTTACGAAAACATAGATTGGGGTCTCTGAACTCTATTCTTGTTTGCACTTTCCTGTTTACCTTTAAGAATTTCAAGCCAAACATGTACTTCGAAGACACAAAGCTGACGAAGACCTTTACCTTCTTGGATGAGGGGACAACCAAGATAACTGGTACGGCAATCCGATGGAAGGAAGGCAAGGTAATTAGTATGACCTTGTTACCTTTTTTTTTTTTCTTTTGGAAAAAAAAAAAAAAATTCTTGTATGAATGTAAATGTCCAATGTGAAGGGAGCTGCAAATGGAGATACTCAGGAGAAGAAAGGAAATAAACGTCCACACTCTGATGACAGGTATGTGCAGTTAATGCCATTCTTTCTTGAGATTTTTCTCTTGGATAATCTTCATATGACCAGTAACATTTTGTACATGAAAAAGAAATTTGGCTGGATACAATTTAACAGCTCTGTTTTCATATTTGAAGGTGTTCATTGGAGATACTTTAGATATTTTCCTTAACTTTGCTCGAAAATGATTATGTACAAGTCAGGAGCAATGTATATCTGTGCATTTAAGAGAAAGAAAATCTCATGCCCGTGCGCACACAAAACTTCAGATAAATAAATAAACATAGATGACTTTACATGCATAGTTTTTGCTTTCATACATGTTCCATCATAATTTGATTGATTGCCCTGCCAATTGATTGCCCCGACCTGTTGATTGCTTGGCTTTCCTTGCCAACTTCCTCTTAAGTACTAAAAGCTTTCATTTGCCGTCTGTTTTCTTCTCATAAACTGAATGTTTGACCTAGATTTTTTGCTTTTATTCCTTTTCTTTTCTTTTCTGAGTCATTTTTATTGATGCAGCTTCTTTAGTTGGTTTTCTGAAACACAACAGAAGGATACGGTTGATCTAGAGGGGCTTAATAGTGATGAGGTGAATTCCTTTTCAGATTTCTTTCATGTATGGTGAAAGCTTCATATGGTCCTTTCCAGTTTCAAAGTAACTGTCTTGTTTACTATGATAGTTGTTAATATATCACTGTTTGTTTGGTTAATAGATTACTTTTTGTTTGCCTCGTTTGTAAGTCGTACTTCCAATGATCATATTTTTGAGATCCTTTGTTTTAGATGCTGAGGTTTGTTAGAAGAAATAGAACTGTTATTGGTCTTCTGATGTCCTTTTATCTAAACTTTGAAATACAGGTGGCTGAGATAATTAAGGATGATTTATGGCCCAACCCTCTCAAATATTTCAACACTGTATGATCTCTTTACCCATTCCTTTTCAAAATTTGTGGTTCTGCAAGTGATAGGCTGACAGAATTGCCTTCTTGAATATTGTAGGAAGCTGATGAAGAAGATGAAGAGGAAGAGGTAAAAAATTAAAAAAAATAACTTTCATCTCTGTTTGTTTGTGCTCTTGTCTTTTTGTCTGGTGATAGAATAGAGAAGTGAAAGTTCGTGTTAGAAAGGGAAGAGAAAATAATACTGCTCCCTCATTGCCTCTACATACTGTGATCTGATCCTAATAACCACTCAAAACTTGGACTCTCTCTCTCTCTCTCTCTCTCTCTCTCTCTCTCTCTCTCTCTCTGTTCCAACTTTAGTTCTGTCAGATTTCTACCCAGGAAAAAACATTGCATATGTGATTAGGTGGAGTTTAGTGTCAGTGTCTCAAATATTGTGAATGTTCGCTGTTATTTTCTACTTATGTTTGCTGCTCTTCTTCTTCTTCTGCAGGGAGATGATGATGAGGAAGATGACGAGGAGGATGGCAATGAGGAGGATGAAGCTTGAGCTGTAGAGTTTATCCTTGCTCTATCTCTGTGTTGGTCTTCTTAAGATTTGCAACACGGGATATGTTATTGCTTTTTAGATGAAACATTCTCAGAAACGGCTAGCTTTATTTTTGGTACTCGAGAACTTTTAAGTAATATTATTGATTTAAAGTTAGAGCGTCGATGATGCTGAGCTTCGTTCGAGCTTCCGATTAATGTTTTCTTTGAGCGGTATTGGTATGTCTTTCGAAAATTATCTTTTGACAATGGCACATAAAGAATGAACAATTGCACTCAATTGAGATTTCTGGACATGGCATACACAACAAGAAGCCTAACCAACTACAAAAAACTGCTCCGGCTTCCCAAAACTGAGTATGAAGTTCAAAAACTATGTTTCACCTGAGTAGGAAATAAGGGTTAAAACCGGACCAGGCAGAGGTTTTCCCTCTTAAATTTTGGGCCAAAAGGCTCGGAGATTCCCCAGCCATTTTCTCATGTGATTCAATCACTAACAAATACAAGTTAGAGACCATTGGGTTTAGAACAAATGGATGGAGAATCTCCTCAAGTTCAAGTACTTCATTGAGCATCAACCTGCTATTCTCAACGTCTCCACGGAAGATGCAATTTGACAGGGCATAGAATGCAAGTAGATTTGCATACATCGGTAAGAAAGCATCCTTGTGGTTGCCAATGCCCCCTATCCAATCGACTCCTTGTTGGCGAACATAGATATTCGCAAATGATAGTAGAGAGTCACGGAACCTCTTCCTCCATCCATGTAGATAATCCATTAACTTGTGCTCGTCGCCAAATTTTATTGGAAGGCTTTCCAGATGGGAACAACAGATCTGGCAAAGCATAAGCTTTTCTTCGTGGTGATTATCAATCTCCTTGTCAAAAACACGCCTTACAAAGTCTCCTCTTGATACCACACTGACAACAGAATTTGCAGAATTCAGAATCCAATTGCAGAGGGTGTCAAAGTAGTCAATCCAGTGACCAAAGATTGAGGAGAGATGCTCAAAACTCAATTCAATAACCTTTTCAACTTGGCTGGGAACCACGCCAGCATTATAAGCATTTTGGCCTTCCAGGGATCCAATGCACTTCTGAACATCAAGCGCAAGCTTCCACCTAAGTTCATCATCCTCATCCTCCAAAAGTTTTATAGATGTGAACCATACCATCAGGATCTTATGGGCATATATGCTCACAGCCTCTTCTACATTGAAATGTAAACAAGGGTTCTCTACAGGGACTTTGTTACTGAGAACAAGCGGACCAATCATCTTGGCCTGATCAAGCAAACCAGAAGCAATTACTGATTCTGCAGCTGCCTTTCTCATATTCACAGGCTCTGATGCATCACCATGTAGTTGGACAAGGTCAGCAAAATAACTGATACAGTTGTAGAAATTGGTCAAACTCAAATCATCAGATTGGCTGGACACATTTCTCTCCTCCGTTTTAGTGTCTTGGAGGAAGCCCAAGAATAAGGTACCAAATTTCTTTACACATATTCCCATGCAGCAAAGAAGCATTTGCCTAGTCTTTGGATGCCTATTGACCTTGTAAAGAGAAACTAACTTCTCCCAAAAATAGCAGAGGGAATTTTCATCCCAGTCAACTGATCTTAAGCTAACTTGCTGTTGATCTCCTTGATCATATTCCAAAAAGTTCCAATGGTACAGAATTTTAAGAATGTAATAGGTACATTTATGGTTATTCTCACCTGCTATAAGATCCATAAGCGTTCTCTGGAGATCCATATTACTCAAGAAATATGTCTTTATCTCAAAGTAAGATAGACAGCCACCTTGAAACTTTGATCCTGTTGATTTTAAGGTCCAAAAAAGCCACTTCAAACTAGTAAGTCTAACTTCATAAGATGCATCAGTAATGCATGACATCAGCCGTTCTTGAAAACCAGAAAGAGCATTTTTCAAATCAGGCACTCTTAACAACTTTTGAGGTGAAGATCTCCATGGGATTAAAGGATCCTCTTCAGCAACTTCCTTGGATGTTTGATATATGCAATTGAAGTATGACAGAGCTACTTGTTTACGAAGCTCTACTCTAGTTGGATCATAAAATGATGTCCTCCGAGAATCTTCTGAATGGAAGAAATCTGAAGATAACTCCCACACAAGTTTCCAAATGGCATCAATACTTTCACTCATTGGGCAACTTCTGGCAATACTGAGCATGGTATCCAGCACATTCAAAAAGCAGCTATTAAGGACAGGGCAACTGCACACTTGAGTCTTCCCAATCCATGAACGCAACGAAAGAATTTGAATCAAGTCATAGAGAATCTTATCTTTTTTAGAGGAATCAACGAGATTTCGGCAATTGTTATTGAGAAGAGAATTCAACTGCAGCAGCATCCCATGAACAGAATTGGAATTGTGTAAGGCAGACTTTTCTGGGTTAACTGAGTTCGGTGGATAAGACAAACTGATGTTTGTCTCTGTGCAAGGTAACTGGGAGGCGATATTAAGGAGTACAACAGGCAATTTCTCATTTGAAACTAAGCCTGTTATAGCTTTTGAAGCAAGAACACGAATGCGGAAATTGCTTTGGATAGAGCACTTTCTGATAAATGGCATGAACAAGAAAGGATCCAGGGTGTCTCCAGTTTCACTAGCGATTGCCGACGGCTTTAACCGTGACAATAGAATAAGAATTGGGCATAAGCTAGGGTGGACAACTTTTGCCAAGTTGGATTCCAACTCTCCAGGAGATCCATCCAGAAGTGACTCAGTTGCGACTTTAAGTTCATGAATTAAGAAAGAATGCAATGAAGGATACCTGTCAAATACAGATTAATGAGTAAAAGATGCCAACAAAGAGATTATTCATATAATTTTTGAAATACATATTGATTAACTCTTTCAAAAAGCAGACAACAAACATAAGCAGCTCATATCAAATATAGTAAGTTGAAGAAACTGTATAAACGGCAGCAATTTTCTTTTAGTATAAAAAATTTTAAATGCTGTATTTTGAATAGTAAAAAGGCATATTGAAAATATGAAAATTTATGAATTGAATTGGGATATAACTCTGTCCATACAGATCCATAATAGAAATAGACAAGGAGCAGATATTAGACAATAATTTGCTACATGAAGAAATGAAGTGCATATATAATGTGCCATCAGGTAAACTAATATATGTCCACAACACCATAACAGTAGTCTCTGATGTGTGTGTCGCTGCCTACCACAATATAGTGAAGCAAGGAAAGAAAGGGACCTGTGGAAAAATTCAAGCCCAGTTATAGAACGCCTTGCTGATTCTCGTTTGTGTACATTAAGGAATCCAATAGTACGCCGCACCAAGGCAGTATATGCAAGACACGCACTATTCCGCACCTCCCAGTAGGGTGAAGAGAAAGAACGCACAGACACAATCAAGGCCTCTGCTGAAAACCCTGATGTATCAGTTGCCAGGTTGGTATCGTTAAAAGCAGCTCTAAGGACATTGAAGGCATGGACGGTCGGAATCACCCCCTCATCTCTGATCTTGGAAAGGTTCTCCTTGTCATTAACTAGGCTTGAATTAGTCAACAAACCATCAGAAGTAAAGCAGCTGTTGGCTGTAGTTTTTTCAACCAAAATCCCATTTGCAACATCTAACAGCCATCGTAATGCCCTTGGCAGAAGTCTCTTTGGGGAACCTTCAGGCTCTGCGAGGAACAAAGCAATGAATGCAGCTGGAATTCCAGCACTCCTCCGAAGAAGATCATCAACAGTTTGTCCCTTTGCTATTGTTCTTTCCATAAGTTGCTCCATCCACAATTCAGTTAACTTGCAAAGTCTGTGATAGATGAGTAAATAATTTGCTAGAGGTTCTTGCATATCTTAAATATGAAAGTATGCATTTCCAATAAACACAACTTTATTCTGAAGACAGGCTTTACTTTTTGTCTTAAAGAGAAACAGGTAACTTGTAAGAGCTCAAGACTGATATATTCATGCATGCAACAGCTATAGGAAAGAAGTACAGCGGCAAATACTCAGCTCTCACCCCCCAAAAAAAGGTATAAGACGTTATTGTGAACTGGTGGCAGCATTGCATCGACAAAAAAATATTATGAAAAGAATGTTACCTCAACTCATATAGTACCAATAACCAAGGATGTTATAGAAGTTACATAGACATCTACATGACACAGATTTAAGAAAACCAGGCTTTTGAATGAATTGAACTATACACACATTTTAAAAATTTACCATCCTTAATCTGAGAAGACACGTGTTAGATTTCTGCAAATAAGTATTTCTCATTTGCGGGCTATTGATTTTCACAAGAGTAAGATACTAACACGGAGTAACACGGTGAACAGCTGATGAACTCAAGAATAGTCATAGAAGCTATATTTCAGCTATTTCTTCTTTTTATTTCAAGGCATGGTCCAGCTTTCTATTTCCTTTGGTAAAGAGGAATCAAATTTCCTTCTCCCAAAACAACTAAATGCTTTCACAGAGACCCACTTAATAGGACTTTTTAACTGATTAAGACTGAAAAGAAGTTACGAAGTTGAACACCAAAAAAGTAATAATAATAATAATAATAATAATGGAGAAATTATATGACGTACCGAGGGTCATTTGAACAAAGTAAACGGTTACATAAGGCAGTAAATCCAGCCCTTGTTTTATCTATTGCGCCATTGTGCTTCATTTTGAGGAGCACTTCCAAAAAGTGGGTTCCAATTGCCTCCAATTGTTTTAGATCAAACACTCCATCGGATACAGAAACATCTGCATTCTTTACATCAGGGCTCTCTGCAGCAGATGCCTCGCCGGTAGGTAAAGGAATTTTCCGTATTATGGTCCCCAAAAGAAGACTTATCTGGAAGAATAAGAGATATATGGTAGATCAATATGCTACTTGAGAAAATCCAGGAAGTATGAATCTAATTATGCAAACTATAAGAATGCAAAATACTTAAAATCTCAATCTAAGTTCAGATGACAGTATAAAATTTGTTAGTTAACTTTAATAGAAAGAAGCATGAGACGTGATCAATCACAATGAAAGCAGTACGATTAGTCTGGTCTGATGGATTTCAAGCTTAAGCAAGCTTATGCATAAACCCTGAAGTACCTCTTTCATAGCAAGCCAGCAACCAACCAAAACGATTTGTTCAGATGACCTGGTATCCTGCATAAGTTTCACATTTTCCACGTCATTTTCCTCCAAGGCTGCAAGAGAAACCTCATCAGTTGGAACCTCCAGTGCAAAAGCATCATCGTCCACCATTTCTTCCATATCCTCAGGCAAATGCCATGCATCTGCTGATACAACCCAAAGGGCCAGGGAGGTAATTCGCATAACCAACTCCAACAGCTTCTCAAGAACCACTTTCATATCAGCAATACTGCTCAGAACAGCTTTGGAATTCCAATCCACTTCGTCAAATGTGTATCTGAGAGTAAGCAATATCCCGTGGACAAAGCTTTTCTTGCATGCTTCAGAAAGATCCTTCTCAGCAGTATCCACAACAACATGCAACCAATCAACCAAAGATCTTATATATTCAATCACGGGTGATTGATGCATACGAACAATAGGGAGACCATTTGGCGACTCAGACTGAGCATGAAAAGCAACAAGGTTACGCTCCAGGTTAACAATCCAACTAAGCTCTACTACGTACTTTCTAAATATAAGACGCAGAGTCAGAGCTCCCGCATCACTTTCTCTCACACGTGGACTGCAGACTAACTTCTTAGCCCATAAAATTGCTTTTTGAACCTCCTGGGTGCTGCTAAAGCCAGGAAGAGGGGTTGGAAAATGCAGAAGAATGCGGAATGAATTTTCTCTCAACCGGTCCCAACTATCAACGATTGATCCAACCAGCAGTAAACAAGAACCAGATGATGTAAGGCCCTTACTGTAAGGATACAGAGAAGAAACGATGTTGGATTCCTCTTCTGATTGAGGTACAACAGACCATACATTCAACATCACTAAGAAAAGCTCCATTGCCATTATCTTCCTTTCATAAGGAGCAGAAGGATAGCAAGAAAAAAACAAAAAGCTACTCAACCATTTCATTAGATTGAAGAGCTCCTCTGCCATTTCTGCTACTATGGTACCATCTTTGGGCCGATCACCATTTCCATGTATAACTGCACCAGGGCACCAAGTTTTCTGTTTCAACTGTCTTTCCAAGGCTGTCCGAACACGAGAGAAGAACTTCCTAAACAAGCTGGTCCATTTCATCTGAAAAGCAGTAGAGCAAGATCTCATATTCAGCGGTAGGGCTACTCTCATTAGGCTAAGCTCCAAAGAAGATGGAAGGCTTGCTGTCTTCGGATTTAAGAAGAAAAATTCTGCAGCATCAATGCGAAGTAAATCATCACTGTGAGTTAGAGCCAAAACTAGCCAATCCGCAGCAATTTTAACTATGATTCGCTTGACAGAAACAGCACAATATGCATCACCCTTCCCCATATCCGGTACTGAAGCCTCGTGAGGATTATTCTTATACCAATCAATGTCACCTTCAATTAAAGCATTCAGACGAGAAACCTTGAGCAAAGAAATCAAAACTGCCACTCGTTGTTCCAGTCCTAGGGAAAAATCTGAAATATGGAGCTGAGGATAAACCAGATCAGACTCCTCATCACTCAGTCCAACACCAATAGAAGCTAGCATGGGAAATAATCCATCCACATCTAATTCAAGCAATATAGGCAAAGCATATGTATTCAGATTTGATCGCAGCTTTGTAACTCCGGAAGCAAGCCCACATAAGAATGGAGGCAAGCAATCATCTCTGTATTTAGCATAACCATCATCAATACCATGACTACTCCAATTTTCATCTCGCAAGTTCTCAAGAAAAGTCTTGAGGAATGTTGTGACGGCACAGCACACATCATCATCATTGTAAGCATTCATTGTTTCAAATATCAATTTAGGACCCATATCTAGCATGGCCTTTGCTCCCAATCTTCTCGTCAGGGAAGCTAAAGGAACATATCTCCCCTTGCAGCGGGGTCCTAAGCGAAGAAGATCTTGTGCAATCTTCTTTAAAAATAACTTATTTTTCTCGCCACCTTCCTCCCAACTAAGGCTGGCCTGAATGTCTAGGAAGAGATCAAAAATAAGATGAACTTGTTTAACGGTTTGACTTAAAGGATCTTCCAAGTTACTCCACACAATTCGTAAGATCCTATTGCCCGTGTGTTCTGTAATCAGGTCACAAGATTCTGCAGTATCACTAACATTATTTTGCAGCAATGTCTTAATCTGCTGCAAGCAGATTTGCAGTACAGTTAAAGAGTGAAAATTAAAATGACTATCTACAGGGTTCTCAGAGAAGTAACAGAGCTCAGGTAAAATCCCATCATAAAGGATTGTTCTTGTAACACCCCTATCATCTTCTGACCCATTAACACCATCTAAACCCGTCCTTGATACCAAAAATTTGGTATTCAGAACTGTTCTTGAAACAGCAGTAAGTATTCCCCTAATCAAACAAAGTCTACTAAGTGGGGTAAAATTAGAAATTTCACTAACCAAATCTCCATTGTACGGGATTCTTCTAATCACATCCTGTAAATTAGTCTTAGAATCAATGATGGAGGTCTGACAAAAAATTCCTCCCATGATAAACAATCCTAGCTCCTCATCACTAAGACATACCAGAAGAGCTGCAAAGAAAGTCACTCCAGCTGCCACAAAACAGTCCCTAGGAAAAGCCTGAGACTTCAAGATATTGAAAACCGTAACGAAAACCGTGGCAAATATATCTACATCTTCTTCCCTACTGGCATCAGAGAATCTGTGAGGAAAACGCTGTAGCAAGTAGTACATACATGAAAGGGCCTCCTGACATTGCTCCATAACAAGAGGCGATGGCCTAGACCAATCATTGGTTTCAGAAACCACAGCATTCAACCCGGAAACCACATCCCATCCCACCATAACCGCGCATTCCTCCACAACCTCAACCAGATAACCCAACTTCGGAGTGCCCATCACCGTCAAGGCCGCCCGTGAAACACAGAACCTCTTCTTCCCCTTCCCATTTCCATGCGCATTCCTACCACCATACTCCTCACAAAGCTCCCTGAAACCATTCTTGACGAGATCCTGAAAGTTTTTCACCTTGGAAAGACCAGAAGATGCTAAGGTCTTGTGCAAAGGCAGCGAGTTCTCGAGGAAAAGAACCTCCAAGTAAAATTTGGCGGCCAGAGAGCATGTATTGGCATCGGAGTTGGGATTTGAGAGCAAGTTAGTGAAAGCTGAAGCGATGTTCTTGGCGTGTTCGACCTGGGTATAAATGGAGTTGAGGGAAGCTAGGTGTTTAAGTTCGGTAAAGAATGGTAGAGAAGGTGTTTGGTTTAAAGCTTCAATGAAGCTGGGAGGGAAAACAACGGAGCTGTAAGTATACCGGTGGCGGTGCTGAATCGCCCTCCACTTGGAAGAGGACATGTTTTCCGTCGTTTCGGAAGGGATAATACGGCTAGCCCGGAATCTCCTCCGATGAGTTCCTAAACCTTCTGAAAGTGGGACACAACCTAAGGATGGTCGCCCTTTTCAAAAATAAAAAAGGATGGTCGCGGCGGGGCATAGCAACGGAGCAGAGGGGGTTTTGGGTTTAGGGAGTTAGGGTAACGGTTTTTCAAGTGACGGAAACGGCGCCGCATCGTAAGGGATTGACTATGGTTGAGCACAGTTGTTTGCAATCCTTCTTAAAAAAAAAAAAAATTGAAATAAGATAAGCACCTATATTATCGGTTCCAAAATAATTTTTCTCTTAAATACAACGCGTATTATTCGTTTAGTTTTTTTTTTTTATATACAATGAAAGAGGCCAAAGCCTAAAATACTAAATTATTATAACATAAAAAAAGTCACTGTCGACATCCAGTAAACGCGCCGCAATTTCACAATCCTCTAGTAGTTATGCCGCAATTTCACAATCATATTCCTGCGCAAAGACTTTCTGATGGCTCGACTAAATTTAATCGAGTCAACCCCTTCAACATTTTGAACAATGCTATTCATAAAAAATCTACATAGATAAAGTGAAGGTGAACTTTAAAGGCTACTTAGGACCGTAGATCACAACGACATTGCTTCATCCATGGCATCATCTTTATCATCTGGTCCACGTCACTTCACCGCCTAATTGATGGTTCCTCTAAAGAAGGACTCCGTCGCCGATCGACATTGTTTGCATCAATCATTAAATCATCCCCAGGATCAAACTCATTTGGTCTGTCTTGATCCCATGATATATGAATTGGACTATACATGATCACAACCATTTAATGTTTTGTTGGGCCAAATCCAGTTTGAACTGGAACAACATATCGATGCATTTGTAATTAACTAGAACAACATATCTAATGTATCACTTACAAAGACTGAGTGGGGGAATTCTTGTGAATTTTCATTTCAAATGTTATTGTGACATGAATGAGTAATATTGTATGTACGTTTTTTTTTCGTTCCAAAATAAACAATCTCATTGGTTAAACTAATTACATTTGTATATCTATGCATTTGAAGTCGATAAAATATATGTCTCTACATCTTTGTTCATGGTTCTTGAGTGTTACATGAACTCCTTTTATCCCATAAAAACTGTTTTTGTTAGAACAGAAGGAGTTAATCATATCCAGAGTTACTTCATATAGTTATATAGACCTTCTAAGGTTAACTTGTTCAGTTGTTCTTACTTAGTTCAACCTTTATTCACTTTAGAATTAGAATGAGTGATCAAACTCGCATTAGTATGACTGGCAGCTAAATTAATTTGCACATCAACAATGTGCCTATTTTTAATTATTCTCTCCGGTCTTTATTATAAGACATTTTGACTTTTCATAGGTTTCACCTATTATACATTTTTAATTGACAAAAAAACCTTAAAAATATTTCACAACAATCAAGAGAACATAACGAATGTGAAAATATATGTTTAATTTTTTTTTTGTTAATAAAAAAATACATATTAAGTGAAATTTAAGACAAATCAAAATGTCTTATATTAAGGACCGGAGAGAGTAATGGATAATGGATATTTTTTATTGTGTTTTGAAGTTTTGGACATGTCCATTATGGTTTGTTTACAACAGAAGGAAATAAACAAAATCTACTAGGAGGGTATGCAAATCCCACATTATGTAAAAAGTTTTTCTACATTTATAAACCATTTTCCAGAACTAGATAATTGGCCTTAATTTCCCATCAAACAAGCTGTCAAAAGGGAAAACCCGAGAGTCTAATTACGGAGCCAAATTTTCAAACAAAATGTGGCTACAAAAACTGCTGCTGTCTTGTGACTTCTGCAAATTCAACATAGCCAACTACTTCTGATAGAAGGTGGAAAGGTGATGAGTGGTCGGAATCAAGCACAGATCATTCTTCGGGCCGACGGTCAACCCGAATATTTCCGTCATGTCAACATCCTCGGGTTTCATTTGACCCGGCAGCTTCCAGTCAAAATGATACAACAGCTGAGCAAGTGGCAGCTCCATGTTGGGCAGAGCAAATGATATTCCAGGACAAATTCTTCTTCCGGCACCAAACGGGATGTAGAACAAGTTCTTCCCCTTGAAATCAATGTCGGAATCCATGAATCTTTCAGGGTTGAATCTCTCGGGTTCGTCCCAATACTTAGGATCTCTCGCGATCGCGAACGCGTTGACCACGACCCGGGTCTTGGCGGGTATGACGTATCCATCGATTTCGCACTGCTCGCTGCTTTCTCTAGGAAGCAACAACGGTGCTGCCGGATGCAACCTAAGTGTTTCTTTAATCACTGCTTCCATATACTTCAGCTCATGAAGCTTTGACTCGTCAGCATTTCCTTGGCCATCAAAGACTTTTCTTACCTCAGCTTGTGCTTTTTGGAAAACCTCTGGATTTTTAATCATTTCTAACATTGCCCAAAGTAAAGTTGTTGATGATGTCTCCCCACCAGCCGTGAAAATGTCCTGAACAATCCATAACATATTACGAATATTAGAAACCCGATAATCTAATCCAAATTTATACTACTTTTAGTACAAACAGCAGTGAAAATGTCCTAACCAATCTAAAAACAGATTACAAATATTAGAATTTAGAAACACGATCGTCTAATCCAAATTTATACTACTACTTTTAGTAAGAACATCCGTGCAAATGTCCTAAACAATCCAAAACAGATTATAAATATTAGGAACACAATCATCTAATCCAAATTTATAGTACGTTTAGTACAAATCGCAGGTTGTGTGACAGAATCTCTACTTTTACGAAAAATCGACATTATGATGAGATTAAAATTCATGGTATAATGAAACTTACATAAATTACACCCTTGAGGTTGTCATCGGTAAGTGGATCTCCAAATTCACCAGATTTCTGAACATTGAGAAGGACATCAACCAAATCCATCTCCTCTGTTCCGTCCTGTTTCGTTGGCTCCTCTGCAGATCTTTTGTTTCTATGGTGATCCAGAATGCTCTGAAGAATGGCATCAACCCGAACTCTCATCTTCTCAAGCTTATTTCTAGCTCCGGTGATGGTTTCAAGGATTTTAACATTCGGATACAAATCCACCAAGCTGAAACCTCCCATCAACTGGATCACTTCCTCCATTAAAGCTATAAATTCTTCATGGAATTCACTCCTTTTACCAAAAGCAGCCTGAGCAATGAAGCTGTAAGTCACCAAAGGCAACGTTTTGCTGAAATTGAAAACCGATCCGTTCTGGGCCGCAATCGATTTGATCAAATTATGGACCTCCTCTTCACGGATTGACCGGAATGATTGAACCCGCCGGGCACTGAGGAGCTCCACGGTGGCGATTTTCCGCATCTGCCGCCAATAACTCCCGTAAGGGGAAAAAGCGATATCTTGTTGCTTGTAATTCAGGATGAAGGTGGAAAGAAGAAAAGGCCTGTTAGCGAAAATGGTGTCGTGATCGTTCAAGAACGGTTTCGCCGCCTCGGCGGAAGAGACCACCAGAGTTGAGACTTGGCCGAGCTGTAAATGCATTAAGGGCCCGTATTTCTTGGCTAAATCCGCCATGGTTCGATGAGGAAGAGGGCCATTGAGCTGGTGAATGTTTCCTATGATTGGGAATGGAGTTGGGCCCGGAGGAAGCTTTTTAGTAGTTTTCCTGAAAAGCCTGGTTACCATGAACAAGAAGATGATGAAGCAAAGGAAGAAAGTGATGAGCTCCATGGCAGATAATTTGATCAACGACAACAAGTTTGTGAACTTGAGTTGTTGTAGTTTCACTTTTCACTGATTAAAGAAAGAGACTAATTTATAGGAAGAATTCGAGACTAATAAAGCAAGCATGAAAATGAGCGGGAGTTGGCATGCTGGAGGCAGGGCATTGGCTGAATGTTTAGGTCAAACAAAATAATAATAATAAAATATAAATGTTGGATTTTATTTTTCAGTTGCCATTGCTGACTCAAACTAGGAGGATTAAATTAAATGGCATTGAATGAATTCAAGGAAAATATTTCCTTTTTATCTGTATGAACGTGATTGCTAGGTTTGAAGTCAAGTTAATTTTTAATTTGTGGTGTTTAATTGCTGTGTTTGATGTTGAAGTTTGTATAAAGTTGTCAATGTATAAGAAAAATAATATAGAGACAATACTTTTATATTATTAATTATATCAGGATGGAATGTAATTAAAATCGAAGTAATACTTCACACCTGGTGGACCTCCTAACTGGAGTTACTCTCTTTATGCCAAGAAGTCAAAATTTTGAAATTACTTTCTATGCATTTGCTGTACGTTAAAAATAAAAGGGGACAAAAAAGAAAAAGAATTAATAAGTGAGTTGCCGGGATATGAATCAGGGTTAAATGAGGTATACCTCACCAATGTGCAGTATTATGATTTAAGTGAGTTGCCCAATTAATGATTGGAAGAGTGTTAATCCACTTGATTAGCAGAAAAGCCAAATATGTTAAAGCCCTATTTCGAATGAATGATAGGAAAAGTATCAACTGTGTTAGTGTCCAAAATTTGTAAATCTTATTATTTCATTTGTAATAGTTTAGATATCTTTAGTACACTGATACGGTGGCTGTCTAAATTTTCTTTACAAGTTTCAAAATGTTCAAATTGTCTCTGGTTGAAAGTCATGGAAGCCATAATTAAAATGTTGAATTACGGTACTTAACTGAGCATAGGAAAATCCGACCGTACTCGAGAAATTTGAGATCTAACCGTGAGTCATGACTTCAAGATAAAATATTTCCGCAGTTATACAATAAGAACAATATCATTGACCTCAACGGGAGCCATGACCCATCCCTCCAAAGTTGAAAAATGTTACCACAATATAATCTGTGACTAAGAATCTCACTTAACAAGTAATTTCCCCACCACTACTCTAACAACTACTCTTAACAACTTGTTAAGTAATCTCACTTAACAAGTAACTCTAACAACTAAGAATCTCAAATTTGTTAAGTTGAAATTTAAAAGTACATTTCAACATACTCAATAAGTAAAACATTACAATTTTGATATTTTCATAATTTCACCTTGTTAGCGTTTGAAATGGTTCAATAAGATGGATTATTGAAATAGAACGAACGAGGAAACATGATTTTAAGATGTAAGGTGTTAGAGGACTAATTTAATAAGGGTGGCATATTCTAGAAATGTGTTGATTAGGCATTAGTCTCCTTCTTTGAAAAAAGAAAAAGAAAAAGAAAAAGAAAAAGAAAAAGTTGAGGACTAATTAGTGTTATATAATATTAGGTGCAACACAAGTCCAGAGCACGGAGTGGTATGGATTAGCAGACTTTTTGGGCTAGGCCCAGTACGTTGTGGTCCAATCCAGCCCAACAACGAGATAGAATCAAAGTTGCTAGGGTTTAAGGGGTAGCGAAAGAATACATATAGCTGAACTGTCCCCATTTGAAGAGTTTCTGAATCGTCTTCTTCCTTTGGCTCCATCGACGGCGAGCAAACCCCTGAGCAGCGGCCATGGTGCACGTCAGTTTCTACCGCAACTGTATGATCTTACTCCTTCTTACACTCCAACCCTTTGTATTTTTTCTGTGTTTGTTTTTAAAATAGTTGTGTATTTGAAGCCACATATCCCCGTTAGGAACAGACGTATTTGATCTACAAATCTGCTTAATGTGTGGCTAATTTCTGATTATCTTACTAGATCATGCTTTTCTCTTGTACATACGCTCTAGATTTGATTTTCGTTTAGTGGGAAGCTTGATTTTTACTGAACAGCCTGTTGGGTTCGGATTTTCTGGTGCTCAGTGTAAACCCTTCTTAGGATTGTTTTGATTTCTTTCGTTGAGTGGCCCATTTCGAGCTTCTCATGATGATACTTAATGGAATAGATGACGAAGTAGCGGTGTAGATGTTACTGAAGATCGTGCTCTAAATGTTGTTTCTTTTATATTTCTCTTGCCCAATTGTATCTGATTACAAAGAAATGCCTAAAAGCTTGGTTTTATTGTTTACTTGCTGTTTAGGAATGCTATGTTTTTTGTCATGCACATGCTTGTCAGTTTGAATTATCCTTGTCTTAGATTAGTAGTGGATGGAATGATGAATAGCTTGGGCATGTCTGTTATTTTCCCTTTGGAGATGAGTCTAATCATGTAATGGGTTATTCCTCAGATGGGAAGACTTTTAAGAAGCCCCGTCGTCCATATGAGAAGGAGCGTCTGGATGCTGAGTTGAAGCTCGTTGGAGAGTATGGACTTAGGTGCAAGAGGGAACTCTGGAGAGTTCAATATGCTTTGAGCCGCATCAGGAATGCTGCAAGAACTCTTTTGACCCTGGATGAGAAAGACCCAAAGCGTATCTTTGAGGGTGAAGCACTTCTGAGGAGGATGAACAGGTATGGGCTGCTAGATGAGAGCCAGAACAAGCTCGATTATGTCTTGGCTTTGACTGTTGAGAACTTCCTTGAGCGCCGTCTCCAAACACTTGTCTTCAAGACTGGCATGGCCAAGTCAATCCACCATGCCCGTGTTCTCATTAGACAGAGGCACATCAGGTGATTTCCTGTTCATTATTCTTATGGTAAATTGGATTATTATTTGCCACTTTGGTACATGGTTTTTGTGCTCTGTGACTTTGATCTCTTGTTTGCTAGTTAAAGCTAAATATCTGAAAAGGCTTGCCTTGATTGGATTGTAAAAAATGTTGGATTGGGTTTGCTTGTAGCGTTTTCACTTGTAAATATGTTATTATCTTCCTGCAAATTTTGTCAAGCAAGGAGATTTTTAGAATAGGTTGACGATGTTTGGTTTTTGAATGTCTGGCTTATCTTCAATCTGATGTTGTTTGGGAGCTCTATATATCTATGCGTGTATTGTCTATGGAATGAATCACGGAAGCCAAGTTTTGTGTTATGTCTAAGTAAGTTCTGTGTTTGATTCTTGAATTGATCTCCTTTTTCTGCCAGGGTTGGAAGGCAGGTGGTTAATGTCCCCTCCTTCATGGTGAGAGTTGACTCCCAGAAGCACATTGACTTTTCAATTACAAGTCCATTCGGTGGTGGCCGTCCTGGAAGAGTGAAGCGAAAGAACCAGAAGGCTGCTGCAAAGAAGGCAGCTGGAGGTGACGGTGATGAGGAGGATGAAGAGTGATGCACTTAATGGGTTGCTGTAATGCTTAAGTTCTATGGAATTGTAGGCTTATTATCTTGACTTCTAGTTGAAATTTTGCCATAGCGGTATTAAATTTGCTTGTTTGGTAATATGGATTGTTGTCAGATTTCACTCGTTCGGAGATTTGAATTAAGCTGTCAGATTTAAGTTCTCTGTAGTGGATTTTTTTTCACCATTTCCTCCTTTCTTTTAAACGCAAGATACCTATTCGGTACCCTATTAGATGTTATTATGACTGAAGAATTTTTGTAAGTTTCAACCTTTCCTCTCCTAAGTGGAAAGTGGAAACCGCCTTCTAGTGTTAAGAGGTATAGTATCAGTAACACCCACACACACTTGAGAGAGATGGATTTATTTCATTAATCTGTGTCATATATGAATGAGATTCGAGGTGGTCAATTCTATTGACCAGCTTTACTGAATCAAATACTATGTTAGAACTCTTATTATCACATTCGTTTGACACATCAGACGGGATATATATACGTGGGTCTGAACATCTGATTGTGGTTTATTCAGCTTACTGCTCTTCTTATGTAAGCAATCGATAACAACGTGGAACAGCAAAATGAAGTTCAATCATATATACGTGTTGATAATACATTCCATAAACCTTGGAATTCAAAGTCATCTTCCTGCAAACCTTATTAAAAATCTAAAGTAGTTTGATAGAGGAACTTGAATCTCTGAATATTTGTGGAGTGAGAACTAAAAACTCTTTCGATGCGTGGAGTTGATAACCCAATCGAAATCGAACAAGTTGCATTGTAGTTCCATTAAAACATCGTCTTCTTCACGGTTACACTGTGAATTACACTACCACGTGTAACAGCATGCGAAATATTTGAACATGAATCATACATTACTTTGTTGAAACTGTTCAGATCTTTGATAAAGACTCTTAAGACTCCAAATCTTTGTAGCCCACATAAATGATTGAAGCCTAAGAATTTTTAGTGATAAATATGGTTTAAAACATTTTTTAAATCGCCGAAAAATGAATAATCTCTTGGGAGTTTATTGGGAAAAAAAAAAACGTGGATCTTTGTGAATAGGATCGTTGAACTGGACCACTTCAAGGCCCAAAAAGCATATATATGTTGGTACGAGGAGCTAGGATGGAGCCACATGTAAGTCTTCTAATTAGAGGAGAAGATCTTCAATTACCTTTGGATACTTCTTTTACCTTTTTGTTGGGGATTTTCAAAACCAAATGTTGAGACGAGTTTGTTAGAAATTTCTCTATTGGGGGACCAATTCTGTGGTGAAGTGGATGTAATCGATTGTTAATCCCGCTTTCGACACGAAGCAACAATTATCAAATCCTCTATATTTTGGAGTAGTAGAAAATAAATACGCGCTTCGGTTGTTACTCCCTCTGTCCTAAAATTATTGTCCACTTTAAGATTTCAATTTTAATATAATTTGAACTAAAAATAAAACTCGAACTGGTTAATAATTATTATGGGACAGAGGGAGTAGTTATATCCAAGTTTAATAAACAAGAAAATACACCACTCGACTTCATTTTAAAGCAACAAGCCTTTGAAAAATCATTAATTTGTTATGATTTTAGCCGGGATGATTTCCCTTATTCGTGAAACCATGTCTTACAAGTTTTTTTAATTTTCTACATTGATACCTAATTAAAAAAAAAAAATTCCAACTCAGATGTGAATTAGTCGGAACAATAACTTCAAATCCCGATGAAATATGTTGCCACAACCTTAACAGTACGAAATAAATAAAATACAACGTCACAGGAAGAAATATGGACCAAGTTTCCCCCAACCCAACTTCCTTTTTACCTCCCGGGACACGTGGCCGTTTACATATAATAAAACTAGAAAACACTACTACTACTAGGAAGATAATCATCAACGGGGAAGCTTTACTTAACCAAGTAGAAGCAGTGTATTAATACGAGTCTCCAATTCCAATCCACACATGCAAAATTGCAAAGCACTTGCTACTACTTCTCCCACGTCTCTGTTTTATATAAATAGGCATCAAACTTCACGTTATTCATTCATTATTAGGTACACTTTTTTTCATACACAAAATTCCTAGTGTATTAGGATCCGAGAAAGAGAAAAACACCCACGAAAAAATTAATTAGATTGATCGATATGAGGGTGAAAGAAAATCAACAGGGCGTGGGATCATCGCCGGAGGAGATGGATTCACGGACGTATTCTACAAGTCCGGTGGCCGGACGGCGGAGCAATTGTTGTCATCATAGGTGGAGGAATTGTTACGGTACGGAGAAGAGCAAGATTGGAGGAGGGTTGTATTTGCCGATGCATAATCAAATCCTGAGGATCAGAGATGAAGATTCCCACTTGGGAGAGGACATGATTTATCAAGTCCTGAATTTGTTTGATGCTGCTAATGAATTCAACTTTAATCACAAAGGGTTGTCCACAAAAGTCGTGGTGATGTCGATGTCCTCGTCAAAGCCAATTTTGCCGGCTTCGCCACTCGGCGGTGGAACTGGAAGGACGATTGCCAACAACAAATTTGCCGATTAGAATCCAACTTGTACGTAAATATTAAATCAACCCATGTATCTATTAGTATTAGTATAAATTTTGGTCCTTCTTGTGATTCATCATATGTGCCTAGAGATTACTGACAAAGTTTTAATCGAAACTAGAGTTACTGGATGTAAATTCTTGATGAGATCATGTTTTCGTACGAGGTGGGTTGTTTTTGTGGGGAGGCCTTCACACGCAATATTCCGCACAGTATAACTTTTAAGTGTGAAAAACAACAACTTGTCTGTTTAATTTTGTTTCATGTTTTTGGAGACCAGACCAATAATTGATGTAATGGTTTCTGCATAATCCGTTTGGAGGAGGCCAGATATTTTTGATTAATTAATTGGCGTTTTCAGTGACAATTACTACTTGCAAAATTTTTAGTCTACTATATTCTTCAAATCAATAATTTATGGGTGGTTTTGTCTAGTTCCAGTTGGCAGCACAGAACACAACCAGATGGGTTGCTGATACTCATCACTCATTTCTACCTGGATCGATCATACATACATGTGTAAACTCACATGAACTAGCAGCTTTGCAAAATGATGGTGAACTAGCAGATCAGGAATTTAATACTAATACGTTTAGAATGTCGAGATCTTTTTGGGCTTCTTGGCAAATTGCCAAGCAAGTTGTATATACCGACAGATTACAAACGGTGAAGATGGTTTATGATCTTGAAGGGTGATGGGTATATGTATTCACGTGCAAATATGGTCAAAGCAAAAAAGTTACCAAATTGCAAAGACGAGACTGAGAAGCAAAACTGTGATGTAGCGTGAAGGAATCTGCAGCCTGCCTCTGCCAAAGTTCATGTGCCACATCTTGTTCTATGCCCTTTCGTTTTGATTCTTGCTTCTTCTTTTCCAAAAAGAAAAAACATAAACAATTATTAGTTGGACGTTGTTGGTAAATCATATTCTAATCCGCAATAATTTTGGCCAAACGTAAGCCATAAGGATCATTATTCGGTTTGCTTTTCAACTAACGCGAACCAATTGAGTGCAATGCAGGCCACTCCTCCCTCCCATCACAACTTCCTCAACAATTCAAATCTCAATTAGTTGAGCACCAAAACTGTCATCATTTCCACAACTTATGCTGTCAGAATTTCTTTTCTTCTTTTTGGTCATTTGTAACTTGTAACACTGATGCTTACGAAGAATTAGGTTTCTATATATACACGATTATTCTTGAGAGAAGAAGAAAAGGAATATTGTTTTGCACAAGAAATTCACAGCTCCAGATACACATCAAAATATACACTATCCTTATATTAAAAAAAAATGGGGCCGGCCGCGTTGGACCTAATCACCCAAATCAGATCCAACCAGTCCTTATCAATCTCCTATCTGGTGATCCAAACACCAGAATGGCATTGGATGTATTGATTGTTTTACAAAAGACCAGGTCCAAATCATCTTTCATTTGTTCTTTGATGGAAAAATTGTATCCCTAATTCCCTATGGCATACTAATGGTGTTATCTGATGTGATCTCTTACTTCAAAATTAATGTTCAAAAATTCACAATCGCAGGCAAGGGGACACATTGGTAAGAACACTACATATTCTCATGATCATTTTAAACTAAAATAACAGTATCAACCTATAATCTTCACAGATCATTTGAAGACCTTTGAGGAAATCAAATTTGTGCAAAACTCAAAGATGGTGCAGAACAGCATCAAACTCAATTAAGATCAGGAATACTGAATTAATAATGAAATAGGTCTTACTTAACATTCAACTTAAAAACACAATTCAAACAGACAGATTGTTCATATGCCAATGAGAACATTGGATAGACAAAACAACACCAGCCTGAAAAACAACAATCAAAAGACAAGCTGCAACTAGCTCATAGAGCTCTTCATCTAGTACTCATCGTTGTCTTCATCATCGCCTTCACCAGACTCAGCACCAACTTCCTCATAGTCCTTCTCCAGAGCAGCCAAGTCCTCCCTGGCCTCAGAGAACTCTCCTTCTTCCATACCTTCACCCACATACCAGTGAACGAAAGCACGCTTGGCGTACATGAGATCAAACTTGTGGTCAATCCTGGAGAACACCTCAGCAACACTGGTTGAGTTGGAGATCATGCACACTGCCCTCTGGACCTTGGCCAAATCACCGCCTGGAACCACAGTTGGTGGCTGGTAGTTGATACCACACTTGAACCCAGTTGGGCACCAGTCCACAAACTGGATGGTCCTCTTGGTCTTGATGGTGGCCACAGCAGCATTCACATCCTTAGGCACAACATCTCCCCTGTACATCAAACAGCAGGCCATGTATTTGCCATGGCGGGGATCACACTTCACCATCATAGAAGATGGCTCAAAAGCAGTGTTGGTGATTTCAGCCACTGAGAGCTGCTCATGGTAGGCCTTCTCAGCTGAGATCACAGGGGCGTATGAGGAAAGCATGAAGTGAATTCTTGGGTATGGGACCAAGTTAGTTTGGAACTCATTCACGTCAACATTCAGGGCACCATCAAAACGCAGGGAAGCAGTCAATGAAGAGATAACCTGAACACACAGCATTTAACAATAAACAAACTGGTCCCAGAACAACAACAGCAACGAGAACTAAAGAACAAAATGCTTGGGAAAACTTTAGAACAAAACGCTGTGGAATCTATATACCTGAGAAATGAGACGGTTCAGGTTGGTATAGGTTGGCCTTTCAATGTCAAGAGACTTGCGGCAAATGTCATAGATTGCTTCATTATCAAGGAGAACAGCAACATCGGTGTGCTCCAACAGAGAGTGAGTGGACAGGACAGAGTTGTAGGGCTCCACCACAGCGGTTGAGACCTGAGGAGATGGGTAAATGGTGAACCCAAGCTTGGATTTCTTTCCGTAATCAACAGAAAGCCTCTCAAGCAAGAGAGATCCCAACCCAGATCCGGTACCACCACCGACGGCGTGGAAGACCAAGAATCCCTGAAGACCAGTGCAGTTATCTGCAAGCTTTCTAATACGATCCAAGCACAGATCCACAATCTCTTTCCCAACTACAAAAATAATTACAACAGAATTGAACAAATCAAGATCTAATATGACTAAATCGAACAATAAAAATTCATAGAACACCACGAATGGACAAACATTATAAGAAAACGAAAAGGCGAGGATAGAAAGAAGGCTTACTGGTGTAGTGACCACGGGCGAAGTTGTTGGCGGCGTCTTCCTTGCCGCTGATGAGCTGCTCAGGGTGGAAAAGCTGGCGGTAGGTGCCGGTCCTCACCTCGTCGATGACAGTGGGTTCCAGATCGACGAACACAGCACGAGGAACGTGTTTGCCGGCTCCGGTCTCGCTGAAGAAGGTGTTGAAGGCGTCATCTCCGCCACCAACGGTGTGGTCACTCGGCATTTGTCCATCAGGCTACAAAATTACAAAGAAAACAATCCACGATAAGTCAAAACACCCAAAATAAACACAGATCTGAACAATGGAGAAACAAATTCTTCACGATTACACAAAAAAGAAATTAAAATCCTCACCTGAATGCCGTGTTCAAGGCAGTACAGCTCCCAGCAGGCGTTTCCGACCTGGATACCGGCCTGACCAATGTGGATCGAAATGCACTCTCTCATTTTCGATTGATTGTTGAAAGATCAAAAACGGTCTGTTTCGAAGGATTAAGAGCGTGAGAAAGAGAAGGAGAAAGGATCTGAAAAAACCAGAGGCGTATACAAAGACGCTCTCTGGGATTGGGAGAATTCTAGATCTGAGAAAAGGAGGAGGAAATGGTGGTGGGTTTGTGGGCAGATATGAACGGTTTATATATAGGAATGCTCCCTAGGTATTAGGGCAAAAGGGGGAATACAGTGCCAATTTCGAACGGTGCCAAGAAAAAATTTGATTTTGAATTTTGAATTTCGTTTTCCAGCTAAGCATTGGGTGTGTTAGTCTCTCCTGTGACCGTTGCCGCTCTGTTTTTTTTTTTTTCGCGATTTTTTCCCTTTCTGTTTTCGGGAAAAATGAACAAAATAAAAAGAAAAAGAAAAGAGAATGTTTGTATTTTGGGCCTTAGGTCCATTACACGATTGGTTTTGGGTATTTCCAAGATCATGATGGTCTTGTTTATGACATCCTTTGCAATGTGTTGATTGATGGAACAATTTGTGAGTAATATTGTTTCGGAACGCTAACAACCATTTCTACTTAGGGAGTCTTGGACAAGAATAATGGTCTAAAAAATGGACAAGCCATATTTAATTTTTTTTTTTTTGGGGTCACAATCTAATTGTACCGGAAAATGATTTTCCGTTTTAATAATTGTCATTAATAAATCAGTAATCTGATTTCCGTTTTTATTTATTTGATTAAAAAATCATAAAATTGGTGCGAATAATGTCAACAAAAAAAAAAGAAAATCAATTTCGAAAGAAAAAAAAAATTAAAACCGGAAATCGGAATTTCGTTTTTGAATTAAAGTCTAAATAATTGTGCTAACACTGACCCACTGTACGCGGGATCGTTGGGCCAGGCCTTTTGAGAAAAGATGGAAAATAAAATTCCGTTCTTATTCCTAAAACCGGAAATCCGAATTTCGTTTATAATTTTGAATCTGATTCTTAGAACAATAATTGTGATGACACTGACGCACTGTACGCGAGACCGGACGGACCAGGCTTTATCAGTAACAATGGGAATTCAAATTTCGTTTTATTATTCATTTATAATCGAACAATTCCACTGTTTACTCATTTGACAGTTTTGAATCTGAAAAAAAAAAATGCAATTCTGAACAGTTTTGGAGAAGGAAGTGTAGTTTTAGCTTGTTTTTTATGCCACATTTACATCATTAAGAAGGTTAGTAATGATTTAATCGTATTTATTACGTGTTATTTCATTTATTATTTTTTTTCAATTGTTTGAATTATTTAATTCTATATAATGGTGAGATGATTTACGAAATCAGTAATAATATATGTTATATGGAATAATTTGTTTGGTATATATTTTTATTAAAATTTTTAGGGTCATGTTTAGTTGATTTTAATTATGGATTATTACATTTAAACAGGTGAAAATGGAGTGGAATGGTCCGTATTTTATTAATGTATATTGGATAAGTAAGTATGTTGTAGAGGATGGTACGATTAGAACCTTTGATAACAGAGCAGATGGCACATTGTTTATTGAACGGAAATTGTCATATTCTGAGTTTTTGGGCAGAATTTGTGATAAAGCCGGATGGGATAGATATTTTGTGAATTTGAGAATTACTTTGTTGTTTGAAACTAACGGTATTAGAAGGACCGCGACAATCACTGATGACTCGTCTTTGGAAATTATTTATTATTTTTCTAGATCATCAAATTCGGATCTGTATGTGAAAAATGAAGGGATAGTTCATGCCCAAAGTTTACTGGATCTTTCTGGACAAACGATGGGTCCTTTTGCGTCCCAACAACAATGGGGCAGTACTTCCCATCAATATACAGAAGGAGGACCGAACACATTTTGGTCACAGTCACATTGGGTGAGTACTTCTCAACAAAATGCAGAAGCAAGGCCAAGCAGGAGCAGCGAGGATCGATTCGTTACCGAGGCTCAAGGCAGAGATAAAAATGATGGACGTGATTCGGATCAGGATGATGAATCAGACGGTACTTATATTGAAAGCAAAGAAGAAAGTGACTATGAAACATCTGTGGCGGATGAAAACTGATGACGACGATGCAGGAGAAGAGCAACAACAACAAGAGGCAGAAAAATTGATCACTTCTTATCAAGGTCAGCATGTTTATTCAGATATTGGTGACTTCAATGCTGCGTCAATAGACCGAGATGAATTTTCACTTAAGATGTGGAAAGGAAAGAAAGAAAACATTGGTTTAAGGACGTGCTTCAACAACAAGGAAGAGATTAAGGCCGCTATGGCTGACTGGAGCTCCTGGCAGAATAGACAGCATTATGTTAAATATTCTGACCCAAAATCGTGGGTTGCAGAGTGCATAACCAGAAAAACGGAAACCCCACCTGGCCAATCAACTTGTGGATGGAGGATGCGTGCGTCTCGTAAGCCTCATGGTCTTTTTGAAATTGTAAGCTGGACAGATCGACACAATTGCGTGGGACGCACCACAGGAAATGACAACCACAATATAACAGCTGGGGTGATTGCCAGGCTTATAATGCATAATGTTGAAACAGACCCAGATTATTTAGTAAGGTCGATAAGAGATGATGTGAAGAAACATTATAAGGTGGATGTGAAGTACAAGAGAGCATGGCATGCAAGAAGAAAAGCAATCGAGGCGGTGTGGGGTAATTGGATCGATAATTTTACCGAATTACCGTGGTACGATTTTTAATTTTTATGGACTATTTTTTTTATTTACATTATGCATTTTTTTTTTGTTTTTATACTTTGCTGGACCGATTTTAACATGTTTGTCTGATTTTTTTAAAAATAATATAGGTATATGGCAGCATTGCAGAAGTCTAATCCTGGGACAGTTGTTGAGTGAAAATGGCAGGATGGGACTGAAAATCAAGAGTATCGAACCTTCAAATATGTTTTCTGGGCATTTGGTCCTACTATTGAGACATTTCGTAAGTGCCCTCCAATTGTGAGCATCGATGGCACATTCCTTCGTAGTCAATACAAGGGGAAGTTACTTGTAGCAATGGTGAAAACAACGAACAAGCATATTCTGCCTATCGCGTTTGCACTTGTGGATGAAGAAACCGAGGAGAGTTGGTCATTTTTTCTGGCAAATTTGAGGATCCATGTTATCTTTAATAGAGTCACATGTCTCCTATCAGATCGACATAAATGGATAATCAGTACATTGAAAAAAAATCCTGATTTGTGGGACGAACCAGGTTTGGGATACCACAGGTATTGTCTTCGACACGTTCGGAGTAATATGATGGCCAAACACAAAAGCCAACCGCGACAAACAGCTTGGGTGTACTGGAGATTGGGAAAGAAGTTGCAAGCGCAGAAATTTAGAAGATTTTGGGCGAAGTTGGGTGAGTGCAATGAAGCAGGTCAAGCATACATGCGTGTTATTCCAAAAGCGAGGTGGAGTCTTGCCTATGATTTGGATTATGCACGTTGGGGCAACCTGACAACAAATATATTCGAGAGTTACAATAATGTCTTGAAGGGCATTCGATTTTTTACCTATTAGAGCTCTAGTGGAGTCGACATTGGCCAAAATTGTCAAGTTCTATTGTGAACAATATGAAAATGCGATAAGGTGTGATACCCTTATTGGGGATAAGTATTGGGAAAAATTCTGTGAGTATGAGAATACTGCTACTGGTCACGATGTGGAAGTGTACGATGAACCAAACCTTGTATACAAGGTGACTACCACCTTGTATCGTGGTGGTAAAGGCCAGAACATTCACACTGTGGAGTATAGTAAGGCGTGTTGTACTTGTAAAAAGTGGCAAACTTACAGGCTTTCCTGTTCACATGCATTGCGTGTGTGCCGAGAAATTGGTGATCATCCAGATAACATAATACATGAGTATCATAAGACAACAACGTGGCGTGAGCAATTTCAAAATCCTAGATTTATGCCCGTCACAAAGAAGAGTGGACATTTCCAGGCTGGAACCTTGTTGCCTATTATAAAAATCTTGTTCTTTACAGGGGTCTGGGTCGTACCCAGAAGCGGTGATACATGATGGCCATGGATTATATGGGTCGACGCAGAAGATGTAGGAGATGCAGCGCTGCTGACCATAAAACAAGGGAATGTCCTCGTTCGCACCGCAGAGCTGATCGGATAAGAATAAATGTGAATTGGGATGATGATGGTTTCGAAGGCGTAGAAGAAGTCTGAATAATGAGATTGTTGAAAATATTTGCCAATGTCTTTGTTGGTTAGGGTTTTGTGAATGTTATATTTTTTGTGTAAGAAACAATTTATTTGTATTGAAATGATGCATTGTGTGTTTTTCAGTTTTAGATATATTTGTATTGTTGTTTATTAGTAATGTTTTTTTGTGACTGTTATTGCAACGATTTGTTGTAAATACTGTCGAACAGGATAATCGGAAATTACCTAATTTAATTAAACATAATTAACTTAAAAACGCAAATCGATTTTCCGTTTTTATTTAAAACGCAATACCATTTTCCGTTTTTAATAAAAACGGAAAGTAGAATTCCATTTATGTCTCTATAAATGTACCAAAACTTCAATGGCAGGTGCATAATCAACATGTCAACCGGTAGTAGAAGCAGCATTTCCACCAGCAGCAACTATTTGCGATACGAAAGATATTATTGTCCGATTTGTTAAGAAATTTGCAAGTTCACTCTTTCTAACACTCCAAAAAATCCCGGTCGTCTTTTTCACAAGTGTCCTAGACATAATTTTGTTGATTGGGCAGTGCCTGTTGGAAATAATATTGTGACTAGTTATGAAGAGCCTGCTAGAAGAAACGATTCCAATAATACGATTTTAGTTGTTCTTAATCTAGCATGTTTGATATGTTTGTTTTTAGTTCTGGTTATTCTGCTTATTAGGGGCTAATGTAGTAGTTTAATTAAAAAAAATGCTGTTGACGTAAAAATGTAAAAAAAAAATGCTGACTGTATATATAAACAGAAAATCGTTTTCCGGTATTGGTTTAAAAATTCCGGTTTATTTAGATAAACAGAATTTTATTTTCCGGTTTTTAGGGTCAGAGAATTTGGCCAAATAAATACTTCTATCCAATTCCAGGTTCTATTTTTCTTTTTCTCCTCTCCCTCCCGTAACCCTAGTTCCCTCCGCCCCGTAACCCTAGTTCCTTCCGCCGCCCCAAGCTATTTCCCTTTTCTTTTCACCACCACCCACCTAAACCATCAATCAACTCCCTCCGCTGGCTTTTATTGGTTAGATCTACAGAGTTTTAGAGAAGTACCCTTGCTCTTCTTCGGCGCCGCTGCTTTTCATGGTAAAAATTTCTTTTTTTAATTTTTTAAATTTTTTTCCTTGATTATTTTTTCAGCTATTTTTTCGGCGCCGGCTTCTGATTGATTTTTTCTTGGTTGTGTATGTGGCTGTGT